GCACGTGCTCTCAGGACATTCTGATCCCTCCTTGGTGACGTGCCTGTTGCCCATTTTTCCTTAGATTGTTTGTCTTGTTCTTACAGATCTGCATGAGTTCTTGGTATTTCAAGGGCACCATTCCTCTGTAGCCGTCTTTTTACCCTGGAAGGTGGTGCTTGATGACCAGGTCTCAGTTTTAGTGTCGCGGAACCCACCGGTCTTTCCCCGCGTGGATACTGGAACTTTCAGGAAGCCCTTCCAAAGCCTGAGGTCATGACTCTATTCTAGATTCGGTTCCACAGGCTTCAGAGCTTTGCTTGTCTTCGTTAGGTCTTCAGTCGCCCGGAATGCTAAGAATGAAGTTTTGGTGTGAGGCATGAGGGTCCGATGGGACGTTTCTCCCACGTGGACGGCCAACTGTCCCCAGACATCCTCTGCCTGCCGCGTGAGGCCGCCTGGGGTACACAGCTAAGCGTCCCTGTGCAGGTGGGCTATTTCCGGACACTCGGCCCCGTCCCGCTGGCCCGACTGCCACGCTCTGTATCCACAACACGCCGTCTCGATGACCACGGCTTTTCGAGAAACGCCGGTGCCTGGTGGAGCGAGCCTACCCCGCTGCTCTTCAAGAACGTGGTCGATTTAGCTTTTTGCTTTTCCAGACCAATTGTAGAATCGGGTGCCAGGGGCGTGAAGGTCTGAGGAGACTCTTCGCTACGGAGCCTTCTCGGCAACGGAGCAAAAGCGTATTTCCGAATTCAGTTCTATCTTCCTGAATGCCTCTCACTGAGGTTTGGTAATTTCCCCCTTAGAGTGCTTGCACGTCCTTCATTAATACCGAAGAATTTTCCCTACTATCGTATAGAGGATTTGCTTATCTTTTGACTTCAGGGTTTTTTAGTTTTTTGCCTCAGCTTTCAGAATGCTTTTTTTTATTTACACGAAAGGCAAAACTAGCAGTCCCCACCCCCACTTTTACTGGCCTCCCCTAATGCCCCCGCCTTCTGTAATCATTGCACCATTATTAAAACTAAGAAGTTGCAACACTATTATGAGGCACAGTCCAGCTCACTCGTGAGGATTTTCCCAGTTCAACTACTAATGTCCTTTTTCCGTCCCAAGACCCACCGAGTACGGTTAGCGAGTGCGCTCCTATCCAGCAGG